CGGCCATCAGTTTGTGACCTCAAGCTCAAGCTTACTTGGGTTATGCAACAGGGGGTTTAGGGGGCAATTACTTTTTCATATAGCGCCAGGCTGCTGTTTGAACAGCTTTTTTTCCCTTAACCATTAGCCGCCGGGCCTATAGCCGTTTGGCAGCGGCAAAAATGCATTAGCTTTCCGGGTGCATGCCCTTTGGCGTGCTCCCGCACATGCGCAGTTTGCGTGGTTGCAGACCAATCACAGCAGGTCACATGACAGTTGTATACAATGGATGGCTTCATTCATGCCATCCATTGTATACTAGTGCCTAGCTGTGAATGGTCACAGCAGGTCACATGCACATGTTATGTGATTAGCTGTGGCCAAATCACAGCTAAGCACAAAAAAAAAAAAAAAAAAGCCTGAATGAATCGATTTCATTTAGGTAAATGCTTGCTTATAGCAAAGTAATTCTTTGCTATAAGCAAATTGTGTAAAAAAAGAAAAAAAAAAAACTGATCACTTCCCCAAAGTAGTACAATGTTACTATGGTAACATTGTACTACTTTGGTCATAGTAAAATATGAAAAGAAAATCTTAAAAAAAATTAAAAATGTAATAAAAAATTAAAAATAAAAAAAATCTATATTTTTTTTTTCATACTGCCACCAGTCAGTGTCCCTGTTCACCGCCATGCCAGTTATATGATGACGCTGTACTGCACTGGTGACAGTATGTAAAAAAAAAATAGTGAAAATAATTTTTTTAATTTTTCGAAAAATTATGACAAAAAAAATACAACTTCAAAAAACTTGCCATTCCTCTTATGAAGTACGTCCGACTGTCTACTCTGCAAAAAGGGGTCATTTGGGGGATATCTGTACTGTTCTGACATTCTTGGACCTCAAGAAATTAGATTGGCTGTCAGTACTTCAGGATTGATCAGTTTTCAGATCTATCCCATAGTTTGTGAACTCTATAACTTTCCTACAAACTAAATAATACATCCTAATTTGGGTTATATTTTCACCAAAGACATGTAGCAGAATACATCTTGGCCTAAATTTATGAAGAACAATTATTTATTTGCAAACTTTTATAACAGAAACAAAGAAAAACGTGTTTTTTTTTTCAAAATTTTTGGTCTTTTTTGTTAATTTAGCAAAAAATAAAAACCTCATCGGTGATTAAATACCACCAAAAGAAAGCTCTAGTTGTGTGAAGAAAATGATAAAATTTTAGTTTGGGTACAATGTTGTATGACCGTGCAATTGTCATTCAAACTGTGAGAGCGCTGAGACCTGAAAAATGGCCTGGGCAGGAAGGTGTAAAATTGTCCGGTATTGAAATGGTTAATAAGGTAAATCATAATTTAAACTTCATTTTGTATTTACTTGGGTAATGGTAAAATTTGTTTGATGATCCAAATCATTTCAAGAGTAACAAACATGCAAAAAAAAAAAAAATTCAGAAAGAGGGCAAATACTTTTTCACAGCACTGTACACACAGATCCCTGACAGGCTGCAGCAATCCCACTCACCCTCTCCTCACTGAACTCAGAGGAAGAGCCGATACAGAGGCCTCTGTTTCCATGGTGTAATGGCTGTGATTGGACACAGCCATCACATAATCGGAAGGGCCAAGCAGAGAGCCCATATCCCAATCTGTGATGTGCTGTGTCCCAGAGATCCAGGGGGCATGCTGGAGGCATGCTACTCGGAGAACATCCATGGACAGCTGTAGCTGTCTTTTGGCTATAGCATGGTAGGGAAGTGGTTAAAGATATAGAAGTTGAAATCAAAAGCTTGATTTCAGTATTTGCGGATGATACCAAATTATGATGGGATTGGGTAGCTACCTGGCAGATGAGGTTCAATACTGAGAAATGTAAAGTTATGCACTTCGGTCCCAAAAATACACATTAGGAGAGGTGCCCCTGGGAGAATCAATGATGGAAAAGGATCTGAGGGGGTTTGTGGATCTCAAACTTAATAGCATGCAATGCCAAGCTGTCAGTAACAAAGCTAGCAAAATACTGTCATACATTACAAAGGCCATACGTTCAAAAGACTCTTTAATAATTCTACCCCTTTACAAAGAGCTGGTTCGACCTCATCTTAAATATGCAGTTTAGTTTTGGGTAACAGTCCTTAGTTTCAGCGAAAGGCAAAAGAATTAATACATGATGGAGGACCTTTTCACGACCCGCGGTCGCCGCCACCAACAGGCGACAATCGCACAGCCGCGACTAACAGTAATACATCATGCCCACGGCATCAGACCCCAGACCTTCTCACCAAACTCGTGACCGAAGGGCCGGCCGATCCAAAAACCGCGGTGTGACGCGCGTAACAAGGCCCCACCCAGCTGCACCCTACACAGCGATTGCCCAGCTAATGGACTACAATCGGTGCCTGCAGCCTGAATGCGCTTGTTACTGGGTCGGGTTAGTTACGCAACTAACCCTCTACTGCCACCACCACTTTTGTCGGAGACTGGGAAACTCCCCTTACCAAATATACACTATAATGATTGAAATATTGATCTATATAGCACGGCCCGCGGACCTGTTATACAGAGATATAATCCAACAGTAGCGTCACTTCAAAGGCAGGGATTCGTGAATTGCAAGTAAGCGCTTAGAAACAGTTTAATACTTTCAGAAAGAAAGATTTATTACCAAAAGCGTCACACAGATGCAAATAAATATTTACGAAGAGATGTCACAAAAATATATATATATGTATATAAAGACACAGCAAAGAGATAATTAGGAAGAAGATTACAGGGTTGAGTTACTTGCCCTTAGCCTGGGTTTGCAGATCCAAGTTGTGAGCAGGGTGATTTCTTTGATCTCCCCTTGTTAAGATGTTGCTGGGAGATCTCTCTGTGTAAAAAAAAACTTTCACTCTCTCTCTAGGCTTGTCAGCCTGTCTTTTTTAAAAGTCCCTCACCAAGGGAGGGGGGCTCTGACTACACCTTTTGGGAGTGGTCATTGGGAGATTTTAAACTGAAACTGCCAGCTCATGTCCCATGATATGAAACATATGTCTGACTTGAGGAATGTTCAGTTCTGGGTCAGGTTGATAAGGTGTGGGGCTTACATAGCTTTGGGTGACCAAAGTGACACCTCCGGAGAAGGGCTGGCTCCACTTCTCATGTCTTAGCCTCCTTGTTCCACATCATCTGCCAGGAGATAAAGTCTGCCTCACAGGAATGCAAGGGGGGATGTGAGGAATGATTCAAGGAAGACCTCAAATACAGCAAGGTGTTAGGAATGGACTGGCCAGCAATGGTGGGACTCACCTGCCTTTTGATCTGCAGTACCAGGGCTGGCCAGCGGGTGCTCCCAGCAATCAGAGACTCAACCTTTCAGCCAGCTAACACCTGGAACTGATGATGCTGGGGTATTTAAGGGATGGCCAGACCCACAGACTCTGCCTTGGTGTTGTGTTTGTCCTGGGCCCTGTATCTGTCCTGCATCCTGTTTCTGTCCCTCTGCCTGACCCTCTGTACTACGCTGCTTGTTACCTGTTTTGATCTCTGGCTTGTGACCCTGACCATCCCTCTGCCTGACCCTCTGTACTACGCTGCTTGCTACCTGCTGAACCTGGCCTGTGACCCCGACCATTCTCTGCTTGCTCCCCCTGTACCTACCTGCCCAATTGATATTGACCCGGCCTGCCTGACGACGCTTGCTTGTATGTACTGTTATCTGTGGGTGGTTTGGTTTGGTTTGTTTGCACTGTATTATGTTTAGTATTGCACTGCGTTTATGTTTGTATGGTTAGTGTTAATAAATTGTATTGTTTATAACATATCTGAGGTCTGCGTTTCCCTGCATCAGTCACACACCTCTGGTCATACCTGGGAGCCCTGACATTACACCAAGGCCAATCCTGACCAGAAGTGGCTGCACAGGGAAGCCATCTTGGCTTGTTGATGGGAAGGATGGATCTTGATGAGGTTGAATATTTATATCTGCTAGTGTTTTTGACAGGGAGTATGCTTATCAGACTCTGAAGGAGTATACCCGGGATGAACTGCTAGAATGTATACGGCTCGCTCATGTTCTAGTAGATCAGGGCACAGAGTTCTCTGAGGTGCAGCCTTTAATTGAGGTTTGTGCTGAGTTGGTTTCATCTGGTTCCCCCGAATGCAGGGATGAATTTTTGCCACCATTTAGTGCAGACCAGGTAGAGTCCCTGGTGTGGTTATTAGAGGATGATGTGGGTTACTTTCTGGAGCGTTATTCCACATGTTCACCACAGACACTAAGAGATTGTATAAACGCAGTGCAGTCATTGACCAGACAGGCTTTGTGTAAGCTCAGCTTTGTTCAACCCCATACTGCAGACATGGACAGATTTGTTGCACCCAGCCTCAGTCAGCTTACAAAGACCCAGTCCTGCTTCTAATCTATTTCCTCAAAACTCTATTCCTGCATTCCCAACAGCTCCTCCTGCCCTGCTATCTACCGCATGTCAGTCCCTGTTCCCACTCGCTGCACCTATCCTGCCTTTAACCCTGTAAAAGAGCCCTCTGTAGCAACCGCTCCCTTTCCTGTTCCATCCTCCAGTTCTTCTCTGTCTCCAGCTGCTCCATTCGTTTGCAGACCTGCGTTTACTTGCAGTGCTCCAGTAGTTAAAACCAGAAAAAAGCGAAAATTCTTTCCAACCAATACCATCCTGCCAGTATCCAAACCGGTGAGCCTGCCTTCCGTGGTTCGGCCTGATGCCTCTACTCGGCCTGAAGCCTCTACTCGGCCTGAAGCCTCTACTCGGCCTGAAGCCTCTACTCGGCCTGATGCCTCTACTCGGCCTGAAGCCTCTACTCGGCCTGAAGCCTCTACTCGGCCTGATGCCTCTACTCGGCCTGATGCCTCTACTCGGCCTGAAGCCTCTACTCGGCCTGATGCCTCTACTCGGCCTGAAGCCTCTACTCGGCCTGATGCCTCTACTCGGCCTGAAGCCTCTACTCGGCCTGATGCCTCTACTCGGCCTGAAGCCTCTACTCGGCCTGATGCCTCTACTCGGCCTGAAGCCTCTACTCGGCCTGAAGCCTCTACTCGGCCTGATGCCTCTACTCGGCCTGATGCCTCTACTCGGCCTGATGCCTCTACCCAGTATGATGAACTGATCCAGCCTGACGATCCTATTAGGCCAGTTGACTCGATGCCCGCTGTTGATCCAGATGATCCGGTACCTGATCCGGTGCCCGCTGTCGAGCCAAATGACCTGATGCCTGGTGACCCAGTGCCCGCTGTCATACCTGGTGACCCGATGCCCGCTGTCGAGCCAGACAATCCGGTACCTGATGACCCGGTGCTCACTGTCGTGCCTGTTGACTCGGAGCCCACTGCCTTGCCAGATGACGCGGTGCCCGCTGTCAAGCCAAATGACCTGATGCCTGGTGACCCAGTGCCCGCTGTCCAGCCAGACGATCCAATGTCTGACCCAGTGCCCGCGGTCATACCAGTTGACTCGGAGCCCACTGCCTTGCCAGATGACGCGGTGCCCGCTGTCGAGCCAAATGACCTGATGCCTGGTGACCCGATGCCCGCTGTCCAGCCAGACGATCCAATGTCTGACCCAGTGCCAGCGGTCATCCCAGTTGACTCGGAGCCCACGGTTGTGCCTGGTGACTCGGTGCCCGCCGCCCCGCCTGGGGGCCTGAAACCTGTCGTTCCGCCTGGGGGTCCGGCGCCCGCCACTCCGCCTGAGGGTCCGAGACCTGTCGCTCCGCCTGGGGGTCCGGCGCCCGCCGCTCCGCTTGAGGGCCCGAGACCTGTCGCTCCTCCTGGGGGTCCGGCGCCCGCCGCTCCGCCTGAGGGCCCGAGACCTGTCGCTCCGCCTGGGGGTCCGGCGCCCGCCGCTCCGCCTGAGGGCCCGAGACCTGTCGCTCCACCTGGGGGTCCGGCGCCCGCCCGCTCCGCCTGAGGGCCCGAGACCTGTCACTCCATCTGGGGGTCCGGCGCCCGCGCCGCTCCGCCTGAGGGCCCGAGACCTGTCGCTCCGCCTGGGGGTCCGGCGCCCGCCGCTCCGCCTGAGGGCCCGAGACCTGTCGCTCCGCCTGGGGGTCCGGCGCCCGCCGCTCCGCCTGAGGGCCCGAGACCTGTCGCTCCGCCTGGGGGTCCGGCGCCCGCCGCTTTGCCTGAGGGCCCGAGACCTGTCGCTCCACTCCATCTGGGGGTCCGGCGCCCGCCGCTCCGCCTGAGGGCCCGAGACCTGCTGCCCCGCCCGGGGGCCCGGTGCCTGCTGCCCGCCCGGGGCCCGGTGCCTGCTGCCCCGCCCGGGGGCCCGGTGCCTGCTGCTCCGCCCGGGGGCCCGGTGCCTGCTGCTCCGCCCGGGGGCCCGGTGCCTGCTGCTCCGCCCGGGGGCCCGGTGCCTGCTGCCCCGCCCGGGGGCCCGATGCCTGTCGCCCCGCCCGGGGGCCCGGTGCCTGCTGCTCCGCCCGGGGGCCCGGTGCCTGCTGCCCCGCCCGGGGCCCGGTGCCTGCTGCTCCGCCCGGGGGCCCGGTGCCTGCTGCTCCGCCCGGGGGCCCGGTGCCTGCTGCCCGCCGGGGGCCCGATGCATGTCGCCCCGCCCGGGGGCCCGGTGCCTGCTGCCCCGCCCGGGGGCCCGGTGCCTGCTGCCCCGCCCGGGGGCCCGATGCCTGTCGCCCCGCCCGGGGGCCCGATGCCTGTCAACCCGCCCGGGGGCCCGGTGCCTGCTGCTCCGCCCGGGGGCCCGGTGCCTGCTGCCCCGCCCGGGGGGGGCCCGGTCGCCCCGCCCGGGGGCCCGGTGCCTGCTGCTCCGCCCGGGGGCCCGGTGCCTGCTGCTCCGCCTGGTGGCCCGCTGCCTGCTGCTTCGCCTGGTAAACCGATGTGCCTCTGCCCGGAGTCCTGCCCGATGTGCCTCTGCCCGGAGTCCTGCCCGATGTGCCTGCCGGAGTGCCTGCCCGATGTGCCTCTGCCCGATGTGCCTCTGCCCGTGTGCCTGCCCGGTGTCTGCCCGGAGTGCCCTGCCCGGTGTGCCTCTGCCCGGTCCAGTCCTGCCCGATGTGCCTCTGCCCGGTGTGCCTCTGCTCGATGTGCCTCTGCCCGGAGTCCAGCCCGGTGTGCCTCTGCCCGGAGTCCAGCCCGGGTGTGCCAGTCTTTGATATCCCGCCAGTTACCAGACCCGGGCGGTGGAACATTTTGCCCAGCTAGGACTGTTTGGAGCGTCCTGAGGCCGCTCCTTGGGGGGGGGGGGGTACTGTTAGGAATGGACTGGCCAGCAATGGTGGGACTCACCTGCCTTTTGATCTGCAGTACCAGGGCTGGCCAGCGGGTGCTCCCAGCAATCAGAGACTCAACCTTTCAGCCAGCTAACACCTGGAACTGATGATGCTGGGGTATTTAAGGGATGGCCAGACCCACAGACTCTGCCTTGGTGTTGTGTTTGTCCTGGGCCCTGTATCTGTCCTGCATCCTGTTTCTGTCCCTCTGCCTGACCCTCTGTACTACGCTGCTTGTTACCTGTTTTGATCTCTGGCTTGTGACCCTGACCATCCCTCTGCCTGACCCTCTGTACTACGCTGCTTGCTACCTGCTGAACCTGGCCTGTGACCCCGACCATTCTCTGCTTGCTCCCCCTGTACCTACCTGCCCAATTGATATTGACCCGGCCTGCCTGACGACGCTTGCTTGTATGTACTGTTATCTGTGGGTGGTTTGGTTTGGTTTGTTTGCACTGTATTATGTTTAGTATTGCACTGCGTTTATGTTTGTATGGTTAGTGTTAATAAATTGTATTGTTTATAACATATCTGAGGTCTGCGTTTCCCTGCATTAGTCACACACCTCTGGTCATACCTGGGAGCCCTGACACAAGGTAAAGGAGAACTCTGCTTCCAGCTGGATGAGCTAGTTTGCTACAGACCTCAGCTATGAGGATCAATTATAAAGATTACAGTTTTTCACTCTGAAGAAGAGGTACTTAAAGTGGAACTTTACTCTCTCAATCAACATGGACTATTTTTAATCCTTATGCTGCTAGCATTAGTAAATAGATAGGAAAGTATATCATATGTACTTGTTTTAAATTTTTTTTAAACATTTAATCAGTTACTTTGTGGTTTCCATGTCTAGGCAAATTATGTCATACATCCCAGCAGTCTTCAGGAGGGGAGGGAGGGTTCTCAGCTCAGCCAATGCCTGAGTTAAGGGCAGATGGATTCCAGGAAGTAAATGCTACATGAATCATCTGCCCTTACTCAAGATGGCCACTGCCAGAAATGCCAGTGGGTGTTTTTCAAAATGATTTTTCAGCAAAATAAAGCATGGACATGGATGGATTGGTGAGTTTGCTTTGAATATTAACAATGAATTAAATAGCATTTTTGGTGTGTGTGCTCAGATACAGTGCAGTTCCACTTTAAGAGGGGATATGAATAAAATATACAGATATATGAAAGGTGACTTCAGTAACTGTGATAGACTGTTTACTGCAAGGTCCCTAAAGAGGACACGAGTCCATGATTTGAGGTTGGAAGAAAAGAGGTTTAACCTTAGATTGAGAAAAGGGTTCTCTACTGTTAGAGCAATAAATGTAGAACTCCCTCCCCCCTGGAAGTGAAACTAGAGAGTGTTGAGAACCTCAAAAAACTTTTCTATGTCTTCATCAGGAGACAAAACATTCTATAGGAATTGTCAACAGGCTTGCTTAGAATTCAAGTGATGGGCAGTCTGAAGATACTGTAGGTTCCTGTGATTTATGAAGATTGTGATCCAATGAGGCAAACCTTCCAAGAGGTTTATCGCTAGGTATCACCACTCTGCCATGGCTAGTTTAATGGTGGATTTTCTCCGCCAGGGACATTTCTTTGAGAAGACAGCTCAGGGACACCTAACTTGACTGGACAATAGGAAGAGAATAGTCCTAACTCTCACAGAAGAGGTATCAACCTTATGGAAAAAGAGCTTGGAAATATCTGGCCTCATGAGGGCAGGACTGGAGATGAAGCTTGCTTCAGCACCTGAAATGCTTCCACTGCTTTGGGAGGCCAATTCTTGTGATTAGCATCCTTCTGTTTAAGGGTTGTTATTGGTAGGATAAGCACAGAATAATTGAATATTAATTGCCAGTAGTAATTCATGAAGCCTAGGAAGTACTGAGTAGTCTTGATACTGCTGGGAAAAAGCCAGTTGGAGACAGCAGCAACCTTCTCAGGGTCCAAGGAGAGAATGTCTTTAGAAAGAGTGTTGCCAATAAAGCGTACTTTGTGGATTCTTGGAAATTCCATTGTCACACAGATCTTATGTCACACAGGAGATTGCAGGTCTGCTTTAAGAGGGAGGAGGAAGTCCACTGGAGCTTCTTCTATGCCTATGGTATGAATCATGGCAGTGATCAGAGCGTTAGAATGAGGTATAGTGGTGATCAGGATGCTGGTATGGGGCATAGTGTTGATCAGGACATTGGTATAGTGTATGGCTCTGATCTGGACTGGTATGACATATCGAGTGATCAGAACGCTGGTATAGGCTATCGTGGTGATCAGGGTGCTGGTATGGCGTATGACAGTGATAAGGGCACTGGTATGGCAGCTATCAGGACGCTGGTATGGCGTATGGTGATGATCAGGTTGCTGGTATGGTGTATGGCAGTGATCAGGGTGCTGGTATGGTGTATGGCGATGATCAGGATGCTGGTATGGTGTATGGCGGTTATCGGGGTGCTGGTAAGGCATATGGCGGTGATCATGGAGCTTGTATGGGGTATGGCCGTGATCAGGAATTGGTATGGTGCATGGCAGTGTTTTTGTGAGCATTGGGACAGGTGATAGGTGCTGGCTACATTTTTTAAGATTACGTTGGGGCAGTGATCATGGACACTAGGGCTGGCTGGCACTGCAGTCTGTGAGTGTGCAAGCAGTGTGATAGGCTGCTGTACACTCACAGGCCACAGCACCGGTTCTCTCTGCTCTCAGAGTGAGAGCAGAGAGAACCGATCTTTACTTTCACGTGGTACAATACCATGTGACCACCCAGATACAACGGTAATGTGATCACTGGGCTCCTGGGTCGTGCTCTGTGATCCGCACAGAACCCTGAAATGCAGGCTGACTTACTGGTACATTACCCGCGTACTGCTTCCCGTCCACCGTCACACAGGCAATGGGTGGACGGGAAGGAGTTAAAGCGAATGTGAACCATGTGAAAACACAGAGCCTGTAGCTGTTTGCATTGCTTGGTCTGGCAGTTGGTATAGTAGAACAGTAACTGTCAACCATCAGGTGACATTTGACCTGTAATTGCCAGGTACTAGAGCAGTTTTAACCAACAGCCGCCCGGCCAATAGCCATTTGGCGGCCGGCAAAATGCTGTAGATTTCTGGGTGGAGACGCAATCTGTCACCGGCCGTGTACCTCGGACACGGCCGATGACAGATCTGAGTACCGGCCCCCGTTGCTGGTACCATGTGACCTGCTGTGACCAATCACAGAAGGTCACATGACAGTTGTATACAATGGATGGCTTCATTCATGCCATCCATTGTATACTAGTGTCTAGTTGTGAATAGTCACAGTGATCACATGCACATGTCATGTGATTAGCTGTGGCCAAATCACAGCTAAGCACAAAAAAAAAAAAAAGCTTGAATGAATCGATGTCATTCAGGTAAATGCTTGCTTATAGCAAAGTAATTCTTTGCTATAAGCAAATTGTATTAAAAAAAAAAAAAATACTGATCACTTCCCCAAAGTAGTACAATGTTACTATGGTAACATTGTACTACTTTGGACATAGTGAAATATGAAAAAAAATCTGAAAAAAAAGAAAAAAAATGTAATAAAA